CAAATTCAGATTTTTTCATTTTTTTGTTTCTATGTCTGTTTCTCTGTTTGTACGGGCTAATCTCCGAAACTATTCAACCGATTTAAATGAAATTTTGCATGGTGGTACCTTATAACCCCGGTCAACATTTTAAATACTTTGAATCCCGAAAAATTAAAGAGTTCCCGTGGGATAGTTAAAAAACTATAGTAACTTATACAGCTTAGTACACAAAAACGAATGATTGGATTTTAATGAAACCTTACAATAATATAGTTCATACATTAGAATATCAAGTAGGCTACTTTTTACTCCGGAAAAATGCACGGTTCCCGTGGGATAGCTTTGATTTTGCTAGTTTATTATATAATTATAATTTAAAACTTTAATTTGGAGGTAAATCAAAATATATAGAAAACTTACTTATTATATGACTGTAGTGGAATTATTTATAAGATGTCAATAAAAAAATAGATAAGATACTTTTTAACACCCGACCCAAGTTTTGAATTAAAAAATCGTTCCTTTTTAATCGGTCTTTCAATAACATGCGAAAAGGTTTTATCATCTTAGTAATATTGTTTAATGAGGTGTAACGTAATTTACAACTAACTTAACTAAAACTTGTTTATAGAAGTGCCCATCAGCAGAAGTGTCCGCTCATATGATTAGTAGAATATTTTTTAAATACAGTGTCGAAATTTTTTTTATCTTAATGCAAATTCCTTTTTTTTTTAATTCGTACTATTTCTAATAATGCTTCCAAAATTAAATCATCCTACGAATAATATTAACAGATGAAATCCGTCGAAGAAATATATGCGAATATTCAGCGAAAGTTTATTTTGCAAAGCACTTTAATTAATGTGCAGCCTCATGACACTATTGGTATGTAATTATACATATGTTGTTTGTTATATTTAATATGAATGACCTAATTCTGTATCATTAAAAAGATAATTTGCTAAATTGAAGTATAATATACGTGAACGATAATTGAAGTATAAAATTGTTAAACCAATTTATAAATATATTACTAGCGACTCACTCTCGCTCCGCTCGGGTTCGTCACTAGGTGCGTTTTAGCGGTTAGTATAGATTTCTTAGAGGTATTTTCCCGCAGTAAAGAGTATCCTATAAGTTGACCCGGATAACCAGCTATGATCATGCCAAATTTCATCAGTTCAGTAGTGTTTTGATAGCCATAAATCTTAAAAACAATGTATTCGGCGTCTGTATTTGCGTCTGCAATAATAATGACTATTTCAATAAGATTATTAAAAAAATATTTAATGTACAGATTCGACTTAGTTAAAATTTTATTATATGTATAGATTTGTCAATACCGATACAAAATAAAACTAGAGATCTGACTTCACTTTTTTCAGTCTTGCCAACACAAAAATATAAAGATACTTCCTCTAACATATTGCAATACATTCATTCATTCAAATATAACAATTGTTCATTATTCTTATGTTGTACTATTGGAATGCTATTATAAATGCGAACGCTTGTACGAGTATGTAGTGTGTGTATGATTGTTTTTTATGCCTTCAATTCGAAACAGCAGGACATCTGAACAGATACTATGACCTGAAGTAGCAGATAAGCTACTGTTAGCAGGGACGCACCCAAGCGGTGCGAGGATTAGACGCTACTTAAAAATATGTGTTGTATTGTATTCACCCCTTTTTAACGTCCCACTGCTGGGCACGGGCCTCCCTTCAGTACGAGGGGATCCGGCCATAGTTCACCACGCTGACCAAGTGCGGGTTGGCAAAATATGTATATAAATAGGCAAAGAGTAAATATTTCAGTACCTCTTTCTCCTCTGTTTGTCAACCGATTTTCTTTTTTTTTGTAGCTATTGACGAGCTTTAGTGATATCAATATTTTTTTGGGAGTTTTTTTTATAGATAGGTAATTGTTGAAATTAGACTACTATGCGAACACTAGTTAGATTCAAAAAGTTTATATATTTTAGTTTATTAATGTACTTATACTATAATGTTCCAACGCTGTAACGATACGATTACATATTAAATGGCTGTTAGTAGAGTTATGCGCTAATATCTACTATGTAATATTCAGACAGTGTGGTTAACTCTCGTCAAGCCTTTATAGGCAGACGATATTAACTATAGTAATTGTTTGCTTTGGCCATATATGTCCGAGATAAAGATAATACTTTTCTAGCCGATTTGTAATATTTTGTTTTTTTATGTAGGTAGATAAAGAAAAATATATTAAAACTTTAAAAGATAAAAAGGTTTTCGTATCTACGGGTGGTTAGGAGACTCAGTCGAGGTCTCGCACCGGTGTAAATAAAGAATTCTTAATTTGTAGTTCCAAGGCCAGGGTAGAAATTAAAAAAAATACATTTTTAAACGCTTTATGTTATGGTCTTGTGATCAGAGACATCAAAATATTTTTGCAATAATCAAAATTTGGTACATAATGCAAGTTATGGGATGTTACTCACATTTTACTAAAAGAAAACCTTTAAAAGTTTCGGAATATACGTAATATGTACCTATGTGTGTACATAATGTTCATCGGGAGTGTGGAGTCTTCTTGTACTTAACAAAACTGATGAAATATTAATCTGATGTATTTTTAATGTTTGCGCAAAGCTTTGTGTAATATCTAGTGAACTAAACAAATATTATTTCACACATATATCCTATATATCATCCATACTAATATTATAAATGTGAAAGTGCGTTTGTTTGTCCTTCTTTCACGTCGAAATGGAGTGACGGATTGGCGTGGTTTTTTTGTGTGGAGATAGTTGGAGGGTTGGAGAGTGACATAGGCTACTTTTTATCGCGGGAAATTATCTATGTCCCACGGGAAAACACGTTATAATACAAACCAAGAAATATATATGATCAGAATTACTTGAAACTTAGTATTAATCCTCTTCAATAAAATTAAATAAATACGTGTTCAAGCATTTTTTGAAATTCATCCTATAAGGGGATAAAATAGGGGATGAAAGTTTATATGACACTACCTTATTAGGGATTTTTTGTAGTTTTAGCGCGAGTGAAGCCGCGGGTTCTGCTAGTAACCTATATATCATAATATACCCGTATTTAAGTATTGTGTCGGTCGTTGACCGAGGTCTTAACGGAATGAATATAAATAGTATGTACAAATGTTTACACAGCTCGGACTCAGAACAAAAATATATGTTTCTTCGAATAAAGTTCAAGCAGATAGAAAAATTTATGAGGTGTAAGTAAAACATCTATTCACCCTTTTAAACGTCTCACGGCTACGGGCCTCCCCTCAATGCGATAGGTATTATGCTATAGTCCGACACGCTGGCCGTTTGAAGAATGGCGAATTTCACATGTTATTCGAATACTTGTTAGGTTATTTCAAACATGCAGGGTTTCATTAGCAAGTGGTAATCATATTGGAAATTATTTGCGCATGAAAATACTCGAGTATATACTATTTTTTTAATATATAATTTTATTGTAATGATTTACTTATTTACATTTATTTTAATAGAAAATTAGGTTTGTGCTTGCATTTTTAAATACTTAAAATGTACGCACAGAAAATGTTTAAAATTTAGATATTTTTTAGCTGTAAAAATGAATGTATATTTATTTGTATGACTCGACATATTCCTTTACCACGAATTTTATTGCAATGAATTTTATAACATATTTGGATAGAATCGATAAAACCAGAAAGTAAGGTATGTGATGATGTTCTCCTACCCGATTTCGGCCACGGCGACCAATCTCATTGAGACTAGCCAACTGCGCAGGGGATATTATAGAGTTTCCTAAAAATGTTATATTAGAAAACAACATAAACTAGAAAGTTATCCCGCTGTCTCTCTGTCCCTTTGTGTGTTTAGATCTTTAAAACTACGTAACAGATTTTGATTCGGTTTTTTAATAGATAGAGTGATTCAAGAGGAAGGTTTTAGTATATAATTTGTTAATTTTTTGTATACATTGACTAAAATATAACGATATTTGTTGGAGGTCTCGGGAAAAAATAACCCGTCTGGGAGCTTTCAACGAAATCGCTGCCTAAACCCTTTGAGTTATAACAAACTAATGTATGGTGGAATTGTGTATCTTATACCTATACTCGTAAGTCTACAGAAAAGTCCGCGATGGCATATGTCTATCTCTTAACTATAACATACTATAGCCATTTTAATTTAAAACGTACAGTGTGACATATACATACGAGTATATCGCTTTCACTTGACTGAGTTTAAACTATTTTAAGTAGCTTAGATACTGTGTATTATATAGGTACAAAACTTGAAAACTACATTGGTGATTAATATCATACAATATTTAAGATAGAAATCATTAAGCTACTGGGTAACTAGTATAGTAAATAGCGATCTTTAACACCAAAACATTTAAAAAAATAGTTTATTTATTAGTTTAGGCAATAGAAGTGCAATTTATATTAGTAAATATATTTTAATGAAATAAAAGTTTAATAATAGAAATCGCAGTGCACAGGAAAATTATAGGTACATGGTTTTTGTTGCGATGTTTGTGTTTTCATTAGTGTGTGAACAAACGTCATGTAAATTTAAATAAATAAAATAAAGTTACTTTTGGTTTCGGAGCGTTTCGAAAACTATTTATGTATGTATGTATGTATTCAGCCCTTCTTAACGTCCCACTGCTGAGCACGGGCCTCCCTTCAATATGAGGGGGATCTATCAAACTATTTATACTAACTTAAAATTAAATTAAGAAAAAAAATAAAACTAAATGTGAGACATGTAGCCGATTTGAGGCTCCTTTATAGTCTGAATACATTCTCGGCCGGCGGATGCCGGGTGGGCCGACCAGACGCTGAGTTTGCGTCTCTCTTATTCTATGTAAATCTTAATCTAGAGCGGATAGACGAGGTGTAACCATAACTAGTTTCTTATCAGGGTTTTTTGTTTAGGTGAAATGTGGCGCGCGGTAGCGGTGGGCGTGAGGCGATGATCGGCCACATGGGCTGGCCGCGCGCTCACCATGCGCCAGCAGTCGACCGATGTAAGTTATCCTCCATATCTTCATTAAACATAGTTTAGACATTTTCAACCGACTTCAAAAAGGAGGAGGTTCTCAATTCGACTGTATGTTTTTTTTTTTTTTTTATGTTTGTTACCTCAGAACTCCGTCATTTATTAACCGATTTGGACAATTTTTGTTTTGTTTGAAAGGGTATACTTCCAGATTGGTCCCATTTAAATTTAAAAAAAAATACCACCCCTAAGGGTGGAAAAACAACTAATGATGAATTTAACCTACTTCTAATTGTCATATTGACTTGAAACTTTGCAAGTATTTCTATTTCCGTTGATAGTACAGTGGTTTGGTGTTGTTGACCTGATCTGATGGCAAGGCCAGAAGGTGGATAGGTGGAACTCTTCAACGGCTAATAGTAGATACTTTGAGTTTGGGCTTATTTTGTTTGATTTGACAAGCCTAACACGTTAGAATCCTTACTTTGCTACTACTGTCTACACTAAAAAGGGAAAAATAAAAACTTTTTAACAAAAAAATAAAAACCGACTTCAAACAAAAGCACTATAAAGTAAGAAATAACTGATTGGTAGTTTTCATTTACTATACATACCTAATCAAATATTTTCGAAGTCGGTGTGCTTTGGCTAAGTAATTAAAGCCTACCTATTAAATACATACCTAATCAAATATTTTCGAAATCGGTGCCAGCCCATACAAAGCAAAGCACACCGACTTCGAAAATATTTGATTAGGTATGTATAGTAAATGAAAACTACCAATCAGTTATTTTTTACTTTTTAGTGCTTTTGTTTGAAGTCGGTTTTTATTTTTTTGTTAAAAAGTTTTATGATTTTATATTAATTATAGTTGACATATTTATCTGATATATTTTTCATCAATTTATTTATATTTTATTTTACTCTGCGCAATAAACCTTTGTCTTATAACAGCATCACTCGGTTTTTTGTTTTAAATTATATAACAAATGAAAAACTGACGGATACTTTGGCATTCAGATTAGTTAATTCTATTTTTTATTGAATACTAGAGACTTTCTCTCGCTTCGCTCGGGTTCGTCCCTAGCTTCCCTACCAATAAAAACTTTCATCCCCATTTTCACCACCTTAAGGGATGATTTCCAGAATAAAAAGCTTCCCAGGGTTTCAAACTATCTTTTTACCACTATCTAAATCTATCTAAATCGGATCATGAGATTAAAAAAAACTTATTTTAGTAAAAAATAAATCTTTTAATTTTCTTCTATACAAAACTTGTCCTGAAAATATATAAATAAATAACAAAAAAAAGAATTATCATTTTGGTGCAGTCGATCCGAAGTTATGCTCGTACATACATTTCGGTGATTCGTATTTATTTATAAACATAAATATATAAACTTACATTCACATTTTCTACATAGTTATAAAACTAGTAGTAGTTTATAAAACTAGTTACAAAGTATGTCTTTATTTCTTTACATTTTTGGAAGGGTTTTTATAATAAATCCAAATGATCCATAAAAAGTAAAATATGTCACTTTTCAGATCATAACTTTTATCTTTATATGAAATTACGTTGATCCCTCGTTCTATTACTTGCGTGATAAAAGACTAGTCAATAACTAAGACAAGTTTTTTCATAATCACCCGCTGCTATATTTTTTTTGGTAGAAGCGCACAATGAAGCTATACAATGTACATAGTATGTATGAATAGAGGACATCTAGAAAAACAAAAAGATATAAGCTACATGGTTCCCTAAAGTCCCACGTTTCCGAACTACTTATTCGGTGGTAAATTTTAGAAGTATGACAATCGTTATGAATTAACAAGTTACGTGCTACTTACTATGTTGTGTTGTTTAAATTATAATTCCCAGACAGTTTGTTTTTAAACTTTCATGGTCACTGACAATATTATTATGATATAAAACGGGTATAACGATATCACGTTTACATAGTAATAATAATACTAAAGGTTCCTAAAAATGGCAAATTTTAAAATTTATCTTTCATCAAACAACCATAAAACTAAAAACCATAAAATAATGCAATTCGCACATACTCGTATGTGTATGTTCAGTATAGAAGTAAGTACCTTTTGCATTATAAGTAATATTTTATTCATTTTTAATCTTCACCCTAGTACGCTTCATTTCATCAGAAAAAAATGGTTGCCACTTTACTATTAAAGTATCATGTCCCCAACTCCAAACTTTGAAATGATTTTGTGAGTGAAATATGCATGTATAAATCTCAAATACTGATGATTTTTTGATAAAATATATCGTGCCTTAAGTTTATTTAATATTAATTATATTTTGTCTACTATTATTATTTTGCATTTATAATATTAAATAAGACTATCATGGTAAAAAAAAATTAAAGCAGCTTTTTCTGCGGAAATGAGCTTTTTTTGTAGTCATCATATTACTTCCACCATTAGAGAAAGACAAGCAAACACACTTTTACTTACATTTACAACGATGTTTGCATGAAAGCGTGGGTTTCGTGGGTGGATTTTCTGTACCAGACGGTAACCAAAAATATAACTTTTATAATAATTGATTTAAAACTGTGTGAAGTTTCTATGTTTTATAAATTGAAATATGAATTTCCGTATGTTCTGCTTTGACCTAATAAAGCTCGACCCATTGAATGTCGGCCAGCCACATCGCTTCTGCTTGTCAAAAGATTTCGATAATATTATAGCTACAATTTTATTATTTCTAGCAGAAAATAAAGTTTAAAAAGTTAAAATATAGGCATTCTGCCCTTTTTTTAATGTCCCACTGCTGGGCACGGGCCTCCCTTCAGTACGACGGGAATCAGGCCATAGTCCACCACGCGGGCCAAGTGCGGGTTGGCGGACTTCACTTCACTTTGCATGTCTTTTGAAAACTTGCTAGGTTCTCTCAGACATGCAGGTTTCCTCATGATGTTTTCCAACACCTTTAAGACTAGTGGTACTCATGTTGGAATTAATCCGCACATGAAAATATTAGAGGTGCGAGATCCGGGATTTGAACTCGCTTCACTCGGTTTCCCAAGTGAGTACGTTACCATTAGGCTACAACTGCCTTAAAATATATACCTACATGTAATTTTATTCATTTTAAGTATCAGGTGTAAAAATTTACAAAACAACTAAAATCAGAAGAAATCGTATTATATTGTTATACCCAGGGTATTGAAGACTTCCACTGTCTACCTTTCACCCGAGAAGGAATATTCATGTGATTGAAACTTATTAATGCGAAGTGATTGTCAATATTACTACGGTAATATTGTCGATTGATCGTTATTATAAACCTATGCACTAATTTATGACGTTTTTATTTGTTTTTTTTTATGTTCGACTGCACCAACAAACATGGTGATGACAGAGCGCGATATTAACTCAGCCGTTGGCGCCATCTTTGTACAGGCATTATCCTGTTTTGGTCCATTTCATTTACAGTTATTGCAAGAAGAACTATATCTACATTCGAACTTATTGTGTTTTTGTATTGCATTTCCATGAGCGTAATAACATTTCGCAACGTAGTTTAGTACTACTTTTAATTGTTTATTTTTTATATTTTGTTCCTTTATGATATTCACTGTAATCATATCATATTCTCTGTAAGCAGTTTAACTAGCTATTTATTATAGTTTAAATAATACAGCTCTTCAAAATATAACAGTCGAACAGACAGACAATAAAGTCCTTATTCTTGGGTATGAACCCGAAAATCCCCTTATCTTCTTTTTATCACATTTTTATTGCTTTTTATTGTATAAGTTGTAAGTGCAAACCGAATATTAATTCCACACTTTTTGTAAGTACAGTCACGGTAATATTACATAATTACATTACTGTGGTACAGTTCAGTATGGTTTACAATAAATAGTATAATTGTTTAAATTATTTATTATTAATTATTTTTGTTATAAAATTATATATTTTTTAATTTGTAATTGTAATTAATTAATTATTTAAAAAATTAAATTCGAATTATTGTATATTATTTAATACTAATGTGATAGCCTGTAAAATCAGCAAGTTGTAACTACCTATAATTAAAAGTGCAATTATCATGATTAAATTATATGTAACCTAGGTTTAAGTATTATAATATCGTAACTTTTGTTGGTAGTTCAATAAATAAATAGGTTGGAAAAAACCAAAACACCAATCGATGCAAGCTTGTATTCGATAGCTATTGCGACCATAAAATATGTGGTAACAGGAGCAAAGTGGAAGTGTGATTACTATCATAGCTCCCACTATATTTGAATTGGCAATCGTTGGAACCATTCTCTTGTATCGCATTTTGGAATTTTTATTTTGGCCATAATTTGAGTTTTGTCTTGTTTTTTATTTTTAATATTATAAAACGCAACTTCATATTTGAACATGTTAATTAACTTTTTTTTCCGAAATGGCATTATTCAATTATTCTTGGCATGCCACGAATATTATTTAGAAGTATCTTCATTTTATAAATGAAATTGCGTATATATTGAATAGTAGTTAATTTTTCGTAGATGCTGCTTAATTTTGTTTGTCGTGATTTTTTGGTTTTGATTGGTTTATCAATACCTACATAAAACCTAGGAATATCGAAATTTTATCAGCTTTTTTCTATAATGTTACAGTTAAAGAAGGATTTTATGAAATAGGTAGAATGCTAAATGGCTGAAAGACTGAATAATTATGTTTTTATTTTTCAGTCTTTCAGCCATTTTAGGAAAAACTAAAATTCTCTGAATCTAGAAAGTTACTTTTACTTTTAAACAAATCAAATAAAACACACTGACACTGGACAAATACCGATTAGTTTAAAACATAACATGCTTATTAAAATGGAACAAGAAAAAGATTATAATATAGTAGGTATAAATGGAGCATTCCACGCAAAATCGGACGGTTTCAAAAACTTTTATTTTTGACTAGCATTGCCCGCGGCTACGCCCACGTTCAGATGACCAAAAACCAAATTCTTAGGTTTTACATACTCTTACAATGCAGTTTTTGTATTTTTTCTTAGAAATGAGAGATTTTCCCGCGGTAAAAAGTATCCTATATGTTGACCCGGATAACCAGATATCATCATACCAAATTTCATCAAAATCTGTCCAGTGGTTTTCTCGTGATGAGACAGACAGACAGACAGACAGACAAAAATTCTATAAACTATAGATTCGGATTCTGTATCGTTAATAATGGTTATTTCAATAAGATTTTCCAAAAAATATTTAATGTACAGATTCGACTTAGTTACAATTTAATTATATGTATAGATTTTCTTAATATTTTGGTATTTTGAGTACCTCTCAAAAGAGGCTTCCTGGTAAATTTTGTGTTTTTTTTTGATTAGCGGTTCAAAAATATTTATAAAGAATTTTCAGAAAATCGTTCTTTTTTGATTTTTGCTCATAAATTTCTTAATAATTAAACTTTACATAAAAAATTATTTAAATATATATTTAAAAGATTTCATTTTTAAAATTCGAAAAAAATAGTAATTATGGAAGGCCCACTACCGGATTGGGCTTAAAAGTTGCATGATGGATAGAAGTTTAAGACAAAAAATTTTCAAAAAAATCGAAGGTTACACACAGTTTTAAAAACACGATTGAAAACTTAAAATTCAAAAATCTCCTTTAAAAACATTTAAATATTTTTTATATATTTTTTTGTAAAGGTCATCTAAAAGCAAAAATATTGAAAAAAATATATTAAGAAAGTTATGAGCAAAAAATCAAAAAAAGAGCAATTTTGAACCACTGATCAAAAAAATCACCAAATTTACCAGGAATCCCCTTTCGAAGGGTACTAGAAAATACCAAAATATTAAGAAAATCAAAAATATTTTTTTTTGAAATCGTCCATATATCTAATAAATTGGGCGTGGAATGCCCCAAACACACTAAACATATAAATAAAAATTGTGCTATTTCTACGGTTTTATTCATATAAAGCATGAATTTTAAGGCAAGACGTTAAAGTATACTTCAGATACGATGGAAAAAGAAAAAAAGTACTAGATATAGCTATCTCTGCAATAATCATCATGACTTGTGATTGATTCTGAACTTGATAAGATTGATTGCCGGCTTTGTACATTAAATTGTTAGCATCAAGGCCTTGGTTATAGGGTTGGGTAGGTACGAGTACTTTCTTTCAATTCATTTTGATCTTTTGAAAGTTCCATTGAGATCTATAGGCATATATATATATATATATATATATATATATATATATATATATATATATATATATATATTTATTAGAAGAAAAAAAACAATATTGTTGTTGATTTTACGTGTACCTATTAATAACGTTACGTGCCTCATATATATATTTTCCAAATATAGTCTAAGTTATCCCTGGTACAATGTACGTATTATTTTTATAGATGTCATATAAAATATTCAGAGTTATATAAAAATACGATGTTTTTGCCGAAAAACAACTTTCGTTATTAATATTTTATCAGATCAAAGATTGGAGAATGTTCATCGCTCCCTTTCCCTAAGATTTGGGCGTCATCATTAGAATACATTAATCGTAAAAGAAAATTGAGGGCGCAATGTTTAAGCAACATCATTTAGAGTTTATCTCTTTTTGATAGCACCCAGCTGTGTGTATATAAGAAAAGGCAGTATCGGAAAATTCTACAGCGGATATTATAGCTCTATCAATCAATTTACCGTTAAAAGTATTTATCCTCAAACGTCTTAAAGACATTATCGATTTAAATTGTCTAATTGCAAGACACTTGTAAAGTTTTCCGCAGCGGATCTGTCGCAATGCGAGTGTAGTTTACAGTTAGATATAAATAATTTTAACTTTTAATTGGAGGTGACAATGCCGACGAAAGTAAATTGTAATTATTATTACGAGTATATACGAGAATATTAACACTCAAACAGAATTAATATATATGTATTTCTGTGATCGCTTATTTCCCATCTTACTCTTACTCGATTTTAAACTTTATTATATTATATCTCTTACAATGATTTATAAGTTTTTACTGAATATATTTTTTTTATTAAATCTTGTCACAAATATAGAACATAATATCTTGGACTAAGACATACTCGTACGATGAAATACTGTAGGGAAACAGTTTAAATTAAATCTTATTTTATAATACTTTCTTAGATTTACGCGAATGTTTGACATTTTTAAATAAAACTATCTTTTCGGATTATTTCGCGGATTTATTTTGATTTTTGGTTCCCGACGTTTCGAATGCTTTACAGCATCCGTGGTCACGGGAGAGAATCTTATTTTAGTTTAGAATTAGATGTACAAGAACATTTGGCGTAAGAACGCAAAGCCTTTGGGCAGAAAGTTGTTTTTTATACTACGAATACAAACTGCTTTATTTCAAATCGCTTAAGCAGCGCATGTCGATAAGGTAACACATCGGCCATTTTTTTCCGACTTCAATTAAAGTTATTATGATTTTTGAGAGTAAACAAATTTTTGTCATAATACAAAATAACGTAATAGGCGATTATAGTAAAAGAATTTTTAGAATTATTCTCAGATATCTGAGATCAGTACTTTTAGAGAATTTTCACGAGTAAAATTTGTAAGTTTAGATGTAGGGGGTAAATACATCCAAACTTCCAAACTGTACATGTTTATAATATTATTAGTATAGTTGGTAGGTTGTTAAGAGGCAGATCATTATGTTACAGACGGTCGACAAAGCGGTTTGCACAGAGGAGTCGGGAGCGGCGCGGCTGGAGGCGGTGCTGGTGGCGCTGGTCGAGCGCAAGGCTCGCGCCCTGCACGCCGAGCAGGCGAGGCGGCGCGCACGCACACACCCGCTGCTCTTGCTACTGCGCAGCCATGTATCCGACGGTTAGTTTTGTTACCTTGTGTGTACTTACACGTTACAGCTCTAATATGTTAAATACAATAACGCTTAATATATGACTAACTAACAAGAAAAAATTTGACAATGTCAAAACAAAATTTGCCAATCAAAAATGATTTTAAAATATATCCGAAAATAACATTAAAAATTTAAATAATAGTATAAAAAATGTTTTAAAAGACATCAAAATCGAAAGTGCATAATAATTAGTAGACTTCCGCGACACCATTCAGACAAAGAGAGACAATAGCATTCCCAAGGAGGGTTGACGTCAGGCAGACGGCCGGTCGTAAAACTTTTGCCAAATCCTATCAGCAGTACAGAAGATGTACTGCGCCGACCCCAAGTGATTGGGAAATGGGCAGGGAGAAGAAGAAGAAGAAGATATGACTAACTAGCATTGCCCGCGGCTCCGCCCGCGTTCAGATAACCAAAAACCAAATTCTTAGGTTTTACATATTAGTATAGGTACTCTTACAATGCAGTTTTTGTATTTTTTCTCAGAAATGAGATATTTTTCCGCAGTAAAAAGTATCCTATATGTTGACCAGCTATCATCATACCAAATTTCATTAAAATCTCTCCAGTGGTTTTTTCGTGATACGGTAACAGACGGATAGATAGAAAGACAAACAGACAGACAGACAAAAATTCTAAAAACTATAGATTCGGCCTCTGTATCGATAATAATGTCTATTTCAATAAGATTTTCCAAAAAATATTTAATGTATAGATTCGACTCCGTTAGAATTTTATTATATGTATAGATGACATGCGAATATTTAATATGTTATTATTACATTACATGCTAAATACAATACTTAGCATATAATTTAAATGCTAATAGTAACGTGAAGTCTTCAAAAGTCAATAATAGCATTTGCATAACACACAACAAAAAACAAGGTACTCGTAACTGCACTTTGAGAGAAAAATATGTAATATAACTATATTTTTTGGGGTTCTGGATATTTTACAAGGTGCTAGGGACTATATAATACAACTAAAAATCATGTTACATATACATATCATAAAAATAAAATAACATAATCAAAATTATTTTTCTATAAAATATTTTCCTTTTGTGTAGCATTTTAGTGCTGCAATTATATTAGAAGAATAAAAGTTGACTTCATATTTGTACGCAGAAGTGCTTATACACAGTTATATAATATGTAGTTGAGATATGGACTCATGAGGGATGGTAGCAAGAGAACGTTGAAAGTTGAGTATTAACCTGAGTACCTGCAAGTAGATACACTCATCTGGATGTGAAAGAGTAGAAAATTAAAATTGTTACGGATTTTGCGGGTAAAATGTAGCGTGTGATAAATTTTTGGCTCGTATATATGTACTAGCATTGCCCGCGTTTCCGCCCGCGTTCAGATGACCAAAAACCAAATTCTTAGGTTTTACATATTAGTATACTCTTACAATGCAATTTTTGTATTTTTTCTCAGAAATGAGATATTTTCCCGTGGTAAAAAGTATCCTATATGTCTCAATAGCATTATATAGTTGTTACGGACAGCCTACCAACAAATTAATTAAAATGATTTCAAAAAATTTAAAAATGTCATCAAAGTATCTCAAGTATACTTGTAAATTTTAATTTTAAACATTTTTATAATTTTCCGAAATGATAGTTTTATTTAAAATTTCAAATATTCGCGTAAATCTAAGAAAGTATTATGTGAACGGGGGTATTCATTTACTATAGATACCTAATCATATATTTCCGAAGTTGTTGCCAGCCGACAATGCTTTTAAGATATTAATATTTAATAGGTAAATATGACAAGGTATGTACTCTAATTAGAGTTAAAATATTATACATCAATTAGTGATGTTTTTAATATTTATACTTATCGAAATAGATTTGCTTTGCTCTACATCGGCTGGCACAAACGAAAACCCCCGTTTAGTTATTTTATACTTTTTAGTATTTTTTTGAAGTCGGTTTAATTTTTTTTTATTACCTTTTTATTTCGTAATTTTTAGATTTAAGTAAAAACTGAAATAGTTTTTGTAATAAGTAGTAATTACAAAAACTATTTCAGTTTTAGTTTCATGTTTTTGTCCATATCATAAAAACTACTGAACCGATTTTAATGTATTATAATTTACTACGTATTCCCTCAGTTGAAATAAATGTAAGTAAATAAAAAAAGAATGATAACGATCTGATAACTAGTTTTAGAGAAATGCGTGGCCAAATATACATACATACATACACCCATAAAATTTGTATATTTGTTTGGAAGCCCTAATAGATTATCATTTGTAAATATTTAGCAGTTCGAATAATATTACATAAATACATACGTGTCAAATTGATAACCTTCCTTTTTTGAAGTCGGTTAATTAAAATAAATAATACGCTCAGATAGGATGAAAATGTGTCCCTATATAAAAATAGACATTTCACCATTTATTTTGTTGCCATTTAGAACTGTCACGGTTTAATTTAAAAGCTTTTTTGAGTTTATCGTGCTGTCGTGTAACCTAGACAACTGTCAAAGTTAATTGCCCTGTCATGACGTCACCGTAACTTCTTTTACAAACTACTACAGGAAGTACCTAGAGTTACATTAGAGAAAGTTAACATTTGGCATTTTCGGTTATAGGCTGTATGTATAAAATTAAAACTAGCTTTAATTAAACTGTAGATTTAAACTGAATTGTAGATATCTACAATAATAATAAAATATTAACCGCTTTCTGTATTAGTCTCGTTGTTACTGTCTTTCGACTAAAGTTGGGTTCTATTCTCGTTCGGAACAAATATTTACATTGATCTTATAAGTCGCAACCAGGGTCTATGTCCTTCTTTTTTATGTTAGTTTTATGTGTATCCCCAATTCATGGCAACCTTGTACAGTTAGTTGAGAAAGTAGAATATTATTTATTTAAATAACTATATAGATCTATAATGAAAGAAAATACAATGTTAAAAATTATGATTGTAATAATTTAGTCTTGTTGAATTTTCCATTGTTGGTACCAGACTTCCTCTCAACGAAGGGGGATCAGGCCATAGTCCAAGCATTACGCTGGGTTATTACGGTTTGGCGGACTTTACACGTCTTTCGGATAGGTTCTCTACGACATGTAGGTTTCCTTATTATAGTTTCCTTTACCGTATTCGCTAGTGGTATGCAATACAATTGCATGACGACTAACATGCAACTAGATAAAATAAATAATAAAAGAAAACAACATCCGAGGCGCGGTAGACAAAGAGGAAGGGGGATCAACCGTACCAAACAATACAACACTATAACTTGGAATTTCATTAAAAATTATAATGTGATTGTTTTCAAAGATAAAGAAGTTTCACAGTTTTAATCACTAAAAGATTACATATCGCAGTTCCCTTGTTCTAGAATAACATGAAAGTTTGTTCGTTTACATTGTATCCTGCAGTTTATAATTGTTATAAAATAAAAATATACTACCAACATTTGTACATTTAATATTCTGTGAAAACATTACTTTTGGGATATTTAATGTAATAGTATTTAGTTAGAGACTATTTAGTTTAGATTTTTTTTAAATTGTTTAAGCAACATTTTGAGTTATAAACAATAATTATTTACAAACTATAATTTTTAAATACTATCTACCATCACATCTCAAATATCTCACAAATACCTTTTCCTAAACAATGGTAGAAGCACAACTTTGACCCTATTATAATTTTTATCTTGTATTTATAGTAACAAAATACCTTTCGTTTTTCCAGAAGAGGCGTCTATCGTTGGCAGTTCCGGCGAGAGACTTCCGTCGCATTGGTGTGAGAATGAATTTGAGAAGCAACACAAGAAAAAGAAACTTAAACTACACACGCATCATGGGTTAGTATTTTTTTTAACAATGACTAGGAAAATCGTAAAATCTACAGTCATTTATGTTTTTATGTCGTTTACATTTAATATAATTTATTTATACGAATATTATTAGGCTGAAGAGCTTTAAAGATTTCAGTATGATTTGAAAGTGGTAGCTAAGTAGTAACGCGCTCGCTTGGGAAACCGAGTGAAGCGGGTTCAAATCCCGAGTCTCGCACCTCTGTTATTTTCACATGCGAATCATTTACAATATGATTACCACTTGCCTTAAGGCGAAGGAAAAAATTGTGAGGAAACCTGCATGTCTGAGAGAACAATATTAGTGTAGATTTATAATATTAGTGTAGATTTTTATATTTAAACTTAAATAATATTGTCTTTGTTAACTACACTTTATATAGGTATACTGTATTCAAATAAAGTATTTTGAAATAACCAACACTAAAGAGTCATGCAGAATTTGAATAAGGTCCGAATCTAACATCTAGGGATTCATATTTATTAGCATTAGATTATTAAAATAAGTGAATGAATGAACGAAGAAAGCTCTAAGAACTCTGATAGTGGAAACCAGGATTTTAATATTTAGTGGTACAGAAAGGGTTCCGTAACTAATTATAAAGCAGTTCAAGAAAGACACATTTGCACTTGTGTGATTTTTAAAATGTTTATTTGTATTTCATTTTAAAATAAACCATAAAGTCTCAGACTAGATATATTTTATGAGCTTACCTCATCTACACTTATTACTGTTATTTATTATATATTTGTTGATTAGGGACGAGCTAAAGAGTCCAGAGCAATTAGAAATGGAAAGGCGTCGTCGCAAGCGCAGGCGACACGCGCACGCACACGCACCCAAGCCCAGAAAACATCGTACGCTGCTGGTTTCTGCAATTGACGAACAAGCTAAAGTTATACATGTAAGTATACTCATTTGCACTACAAACATTTAAACATTCTCTATGTATTCGAAATTAGAATTAATACCTATATATATTAGTTGCATCGACGTTCTAAGGATGTTTGCACACGTACGCGATTAGTGTTGGCAGCCATGAAGTCGAAGAGGATATTACCATAAATTATATCTGAAATAAAGTCTCTCATATTAGAAATAAAGAAAAACTAGTTCACATAAATGTTAATAGATGGCGTCCTGTATATGAATGAGCTATTATTGTTGTAAAAATACTTTTACTTTAAAAAAAATAATCTTTAAATAAAATAATGCGTTCTTAAATCAATCACAAATTTTACTAATAATCGAGAAATCAGCCACAAGAGTTTGTTTGTATATTAAGTTATGAATTGATATTATATGAATTGAGATTGATATTATGAATGATTTGATATAATTAATACCTCAATCATTTAGATTTTATTTAATTATCAGGGTCAGATTATCCTGTGATGTTTATTTTTCATGAGCAAACCCTATTTAATAAAGTAATCACTATTCCTTTTTTATTAAATTATTCTACTATTACTTATATTAATTATTATTTGCGTCTTTACAGGCATTAAACATATTTTGTTTAGTTTTTTGTAGCGTTGTACAACAGAAATTCAAAAGTAAAATAGGAAAAGTATATAATAAAATACAAAAATACTAGTAGGTACAGATGTTTCATCCCATACTAGAGCTAATTCGGATTATTTTTGCTTACTTGAATAGATAATAGATGTCGCTGATCCGCAAAATGTCGAACTATGTTATTTCATAAAAACTATAAATAAAAATATATAAAATATTGTAAAATTCATCTTGCATTTAATTAAACAAATTTAAGTTACTATTTGTTTTTAACCGTGATAAAAAACCACGAAAAGAAATATCGAGAACGCCGATTTTTCAATAATCAGTAAAATTACGTTAGATTGATTTACTGGCGCATTATTTCATTTTCCTTCACTTAATATTTTTTTAAATCAAAGTATAGTTTTTTGTATTTTATTTTTTGTTAATTTAACACAACTACAATAAGACATCAAAACATATAACGTCATCTATTGACATTTATTTGAACTATTTTTCGTTTGTTCGTGATGTGATACAATATACATTAGGAAAAAATGAGTTGTTTGAAATATATTTTGTTGTATTATAAATGAATGAATGATAAAAAACGCACTGATTAACCTACCAATTACGAGTATAATTTTACTAGCAACATATTCTTGCTTCGCGCGGTTCCATCCGCAAGCGATCAGCAGTAGCCTATATATTACTCCCCATTTTCTATACTAGTGATTTACCTTCGCTTCGTTCGGATGCGTCCCTAGGTACGTTTTATTTTGTTTAACGGAACCCTAACTCTTTTTCTAAAATAAAAGTAGTCTAAGTTATTCCTTAAAATATTAGCTATCTGCCAGTGCAAGTCCCATCAAAATCAGTTCAGCCATTTCGGAGATTAGCCGGAATAAACAGACAGACAGATAGACAGACATACAAACAAAAATTTCAAAAGCGTATTTTTTTATAGGTAACGCATATAATTTCATATGGTGTTATTTTGACATTACAGACAGACACTTCAATTTTTTTTATCTGTATAGATGTCACTATGTGTACTCATCCAAATCCAGACGCTGAAATGTCAGCGCGGCGTAAAGAAGTAACAAAAATAAACACACACACATACAAACTTTCGCACTTATAATAGTAGTCTGATTTATACTTTGCTTGCTAGGTGCTAGACCCCGATGAGCTACCACGGCGTGCGAGGTATACGATCATGGTGACAGCGTGTTTGCTACTTTTCCTTTGTTTGTTGCTGGTTGGAGTCACGCTCCGCATGGCGCCACTTATTGATGACATGGGTAAGAATATATTTTTGTTTTTGAATTATACCAATGAATAAATTATTATATCTGTTATAATAAAATAGCTATTATGCAAGCATTAGGCATACAATATACATATAGATTTTTTTGTGGAAAACAGTAAAATTATATTTTTGCTGTTTGCTGCTTCTGTGAATATTGTATTTATATATTTTGACGACACGTTTGGCTTAGTTTGTAGTGACCTTATTTGCTGTGCCAGCGGTTGCGGGTTCGAGTCCCGCTGGAGGCATTCATTTGTGTGATGAGCACGAATGTGTGTACTCCAGTCATGGTTGTTTACATTTATAATATGTATGTATTTAATAATATATATGTGTAGTGTATCAACTAAATGTATCCATAACACAAGCCTCGTAGCTTACCATGGAACTAGATGGTGCTGTGTGTTAATGTCCGAACATATTTATTTATTATTATATTTTGTCAATACCAGGGATAATTAAAGTAGTCCAACTCTAGAAAAATGAAATAAGTTCATAGAAGGTCGAAGAAAGGTCTGATTTTTTTTTGATTGAGAGCCTGAGAATTATAACGCGGCTATTTCGCGAAATAACTTAGGGCTAGTGCAAGAGTGTCTTTTTTTATTTATTTTTTTATTTAATTGCACTCATGTGGAAAGAAGAGTGAGAGAAGTAGAAGTTATTGTTTTATTCGATACTTAAACTTTTTTCTACCAATCCTATCTTACTTTATACGTAATCCTACCTTATCATCACGATTTATATTTACACATTGTTACATATTATTTGAAACTACTCTAGGGTTTTATTACAGTTAATACCCCACCTGATCATTAGAGTTTTAATCTTTAATCTTTTGAGACTAAAAATAAATATATTATTTAATACTTTCTTAGATTTACGCGAATACTTGACATTTTAAATAAAACTATCTTTTCGGATTTTTTCGCGAATTTATTTTGATTTTTGGTTCCCGACGTTTCGAATGCTTTACAGCAATCATGGTCACATGATTTTATGTTATTAATATTTACTTCTAAAGATATGAAACTTCTATGAGAGGGCTCATTAGAGAAGTAGAAAGGAAGCACTCCTATATACATTAAAAAGAATAATATATTGTCAGATGTCAGTTGAATCTTTAGATGTGTGATAGAAAGTAAAGCTTGTTTCGGCGGTGAGAGGATTCCTGCATCTGCATGTTCCAGGTCTTACTTGCGGAAGAGATAGAATAATGCCCGATTTCACCAACAACCCATAAGCTACTACCTACGTATGGGATCCCTAGCTTAAAAGTCCCCTAAACTAGCCCCTAAATTAAATTTCGTTTTACGATCGTCTTTAAGCCCATATTTGGAACACCTAAATTTAGGGGGCCTTTTAATATTTAGGTGACAACTAACTGTCGGTGAAACAGAAACTGTCCCCTAACAGCCCCCAAACAATGCTTAGGGGATCCCTTAAACTTAGGTGACGTTGGTAAAATCGGGCATAAGTCTATTAAATGTGTAAGAAATAATGTTAAATTCAATACCATTTTGTATTATAGCAACACTGGATAATATTTTAAAAAGTATAGATCAAAGTCTCCAAAGACGAGTGAAGGTAATATGTTTTCTGTCTAATTTATTTACCAGTTGGATTTTTTACTACCGAAAAAGTGAGATTTTTAGAAGAAATTTATTGATTACTAAAATTTTCAAGATACAAGTACTTAAGTTGGACTCGAATTTGTGAAGTTTTCTAACATACCCGTACACAGTTTTATCAAAGTACGATTGATGACATAGTTTGTATTTATTTTACATGTACATATTATGTATGTGTTCGGATTCTTTAGGATCAACGCCATCTATCGACTATACAAAAAGACAAAAACACCCATAATTAAGTAGACTTCTAAATTTATTTGTATGGGGCATTTTGATGGGGCATCTGTACCAGTACATAATATATTTATGTATGAGTACCTAGTATTATTTAATTTAAAGTATTATTCAGCAAGAATTTAAAAGAGTATATATGATCTACTGTTATTTTTAGCAAATTAAGGTATTTAGCTAGATATAGTTTGGACGCCTTTGCTGCTTCTTTGAATTATGTGTGGGTTGGGGTTCATTTCCATCACACTATTTTTTTTAATTTGGACAGGACACCTACTGTCGGGTCAGCTAGTATAGGATAAAAAAAGTTACAGGTGCTACGTTTAATGAAACTGACTTATCGTCTCTTTAAAATGAAAAAGTTGGCACACTTACCTGCCATTTGCAATAATAATTACACTTGGTTGGTAACTTAAACATACACATATACACATATATGTATGTATATATTTTAACTTATAATAATGTTTGTGAAAAACGGGTCACTACGTAAAAATATAGAACCTAATTGAGTGTACTCAAATAATATTTATAATAATATTCAATCTTATAGGTATTTTACTTATTAAATGTATGGCATTTTATCTATGTCTTTGAAAATTTCAAGAATAAATCTTATTGAAAGTACTCGGTAGGTACTGTAACTCGCTTTTCCTGATTTTTTAATATGGTTGGTCAAAAAATCTTGTTTAGATATTTCAACAAACACTTGCTCACAAATAATTATCAAAAATGCCGTAGCCAAAAGATTTGGCCCATTATACCTTTCCTTTTACAAAATGTTCATGTTATAAGCGCGCATGAATCGAATATTTGAATTGATAGTGTCAGGTTAAAAAACAGTAGGCGTACGAGTCTACAACAAAGAGTGTTAATAGAGGTAAGTACCTACTAACTTTTCATAATACAACGATAAAAATATTAGTGTCTTATTCGTTCATGATTAGAGGATTCCAGTAACAGTAAACGACTCGTTAAAATTGGTTAAGTCATTTTCTTTATGACGTAAAACAGGATACTTACCACGTTTTGACATTGAAAATAGCTGACGTCACTTTCACCAATAATCCTCAATTACTTTCACTCATTTCACGGCTACAAACAGATAAATAAGTGTTTTATTTTTAAATATTGTTCTAGCTTTGGTAGTTATATGGGTTACACATTTATAAATACATATACCCATATTTATAAATGTAAATTATAGATTTAAATATCAAACGAGTAAGATAAATTTTAATATGGCTTTATTATTTTATAGTATTCAGTACCTGGGCCACCGCGCTTCGCTCGGAGTTTTTGGTCAAAAGTACAATTTTCTTTGTCAAAAATACAAAAAAAAAACAAAAAAAATTATACCTTTGTACCGGGATTCGAACCCGGACACCTATGATTGTCAATCTTGCGCCTTGGCCGCTTGACCATGCGACCAAATTATCGACTATATTTTGCACGGAATAATGCGAAAGAAAACCGCATGAAAATTCGAAAACACGCGTTTTCCTAGACATAAGACTAATCTAGATCGCTTTATCGCCCCCGAAACCCTCTGTATACTAAATTTCATGAAAATCTTTGGAGCCGTTTCCGAGATTCAGATTATATACAAGAATTGCTCGTTTAAAGATATAAGATACTGTTTCAAGTTTACGTCTTCAGGAAGAAAAACTGCCGTAAAACATAAATGACAGAGTTACTTTGTTTTTGCCTTTTAGATGTCGCTTACAGCTTCGCGTATGTAAAAAAAAAACAATTTTTAATTATTTTGATTAAAAACTTCCATTTCATAAACTTAATAAATAAAGTGTTTATGTTTACATTGTTACAATGTTATGAAAGTTTGTGCTTGTAGTAATAAAATATCGCAACTTGTACGTAAACAAAAAGCATTTAAATGTTTGTATCTAACGTATTGAATTATTTTAATATAAAAATGCACAATAAATGGTAGAAAATTTTTTCATAAAAATTCATCATGCATATGTACATCAGTTTACGAATCTTACAGGCCAATGTGTTCTCAGTAATTTAAATTTTATATGCTCGACCATTTATAGATATGAGCTTAATTAACATTGGAAGCATCTAAATTTCCGAAACTATAAATTTTTTTAACTCTGTTGTGTTCATATAAACTTTCAGTTATCATCGTCTTACTAACAATAATATAGTTAACCAAAGTTTTAGCCAAATCAAATAAACAGTATTTTATAGCATTTTTTCCAATAAATGTTTCATGTGATTCTTCAAATTGACATAACTTTTGTTATAATTTATGAACAGATTGACATAAAACGAATACTAAACGTTAAGTGAAGCTTACCACAACACATTAACCCCTCCACGAGCGCGGATACGCCGGCGTTACAGTTAACAATAGATTTCTTAGAAATTTAATTAATTTCTTAGAAATTTACCTGGAGGTGCTAATAAAAATCACGCACAAGCGCACAGACAAATAGACAAATATAAAAAAAAAACATTGTTTTGGGTTCTACTGTTTTTATTATTAAAGACCCTCAATAATAGTTTTTCTCAAATATCTCTAATGTACAGACGGCGATCAGTTACACTTTTATTACATGTATAGATTTAAATAGATTAAGTTTAGTTAAGACTGGGCGCGCGCTAGTTAGGGTTCGGCGCAAAAAAATTAAAACCCATGAAATTCTGACCAATATCCGCGTACATAGGGACGCACTCGTGTGAAGCGAGAGTAGTCACTACATATACTAGCAGAACACGTATTTATTTAATTGTATTGAAGAGCATTAATACCAAGTTTCAAGTAATTAAAATGATAAATATATTTTTAGGTTGTATTATAACGTGTTTTCTCGCAGAAATGAGATAATCTCGCCTATGAGAAATCTAGCCTATGTCACTCTGCAGCCCTTTTACAATCTCATACAAAAAATCAGGCCAATTAGCCTCTCCATTTTGATGTGAAAGAAGGACACACAAATAAATAAACAAACAAACAAACACACTTTCACATTTATAATATTAGTATGGATTTTTATAAACAAATTAGGTATATCAATATCAGTTGACATCATTATTATGGTTAAGATCTGTTTTAATATGTAGGTATGTAGGTATATCATGTAGTGGGCGGCATGTAACTCTACACGTGTAATTTAGGCTTTAATTAACCCCCAAGCGTTTTACAGATTGCTCATAAAACCATACTAATGTTTCTTAACATTGAAGCGAATCCCCTCTCATTATACGGAGAGGAAGGTAGATTAATAGATGTTAAAAGACTTAACTCAAAATGATATATTAGGGTAGTTATGTTTTATAATAAAAACTTAAAAAAAAACCGACTTCCAGGCACTAAAATGTAAAAAATAACTAAACTGAGGTTTTCATTTAGAATAGATACGTAATCAGATATTTTCGAAGTTTGTTTAGATTTGCTTTGCATCGGCTGGAAGCAAATCTAATATATTTCGATACGTAAAATATGTATATTAGATATGCATATCTTAAAATATTGTCGGAAAAAAAAGATTCCGACTAATTGAGAACCTCCTCCTTTTGGAAGTCGGTTAAAAATAATTAACATATATAAAGCTTTAAATCTTACAGCTTATTTAAAATCTACTTA